AGGCAGACGTGCAGAGACGCCTACCAGAAGTTGCATTGCACATGGCCAATCTTTTGAATGGATTAAGTAAAAGGTTGCATCTAACGGGAATGGTACGTCAGTGTGTTATTATATAACATCGGAAATGAATCGGCGCATAGCAACAATGATTTTATGAGTACCGAATGGGCTGCACTTGGAACGTACGATATAGACCGTTAGCAAATAGCTTATGGCCACAGTAGAGTACAAGTCGGTAGGTATAAACGGTTGAGTACTTGGACATTTGCACAATAAATGTGAACACAGTTTGGAAAGTCGCATGTTTGACAGTGGGCAGCAGGACTTAGTTGATGTCACTTGTCAATACCAAAGGTTGCGCATCAATCGTTCTTTGAGTAGGTGCACATGCCTCGGGCAGCACATGACCGAACCGGTCGGAGACACAGAGAGCCAGAAGTGGACACTGTATCGCATTCGCATGCTGTGTGATCTCCCACATCAGCTACTCAAACCAGACTGTACATATAGAGGGCAAGACCTAAGTGCACACTATTTCACTGTACCAGTAGTCTAGTCATCATTCCACCTAGCAGTTGCTTTACTATTGCCACATCGGATTCCTTCAAATATGGATGCCCAATATTTAAGGCAGTCACGTCTAAATGGAGAAGAAAACATCAACAGTTCGTATTGGGTAGTTATTCTCATACCTGCGAAAGTGGTTGTTAGCCTGACCTCCAAACGAAACCCATACACGTTTGTCGTACCATTGGTGATGATGTCTAATGTGTCTCTATCCAGTTTGTGACAGCTCACACTGAAGTTTGGATACACGCATGTACATATGTTGCATTCGAACTGCCATTGGACACAGATGAGGCCAATCTATGTATATATGTATACCGAATGAATTCCACGAGGATCTTCATACCGCTTTTGTACGGTTAACTAAGTGCAGTAGAACGACATTCGAGCAAGCCGAAAATAACATTACCAGAACATGAAGAAGGTGAGTTTATGACAAACTCATGTTGAGCTCAGGTGTTGCGAATCCAAGGCAAATTTGATCGGTGCGAATTCCGTGGAATGCTCAAAAGGGCGGTTTCTCAGGTGCCGGAGAAGGCACAATCGTATGCGGAATAGAAGCACCATGAATATGTTCCCATTAAATTTACTAATCCAGGCCAATAAGGCGGCGTATGTGGTACGTTTGCCTGTATGATGAGTAATCTTACATTTCAGAAGTAGACGTTGCTTGAGTTCCCCTGTATGGATGCGCCTGATGTGACTGTTAACAAGGTGCCTACCTGTCTATTACCCACTACCTCGTCCATACTGGCTCCAGGAGACAGTTGGTCGTCGCTGGAGGGGACGGAGTGCACCGTCCTCGTGACGGTGCTAGGCTCAAAGAGTGGTTCCATCCTGTGTGGAACGGGCTACGGTCCAGCCACCGCCTCGTGTACGTCTGGTGTGTATGATTTCTCAATTAGGTCGGAATGCTTCCGTTCTGCTTGTTGAAGGAGTGTGGGCCGGCTCCGTTGATGAAACGTGGCTCCCATCCGCATGCCTCCCGGTCTAATTCCTTCGGGTTTACACCGGATATGGGGTGTGTGGATGGAGCTGTGGGTGGTGCAGCGCAAGCCACCCATGGTCCCTCTGTAGGCGCAGGCGTCCTGTGACTGTCCCAATGGACGTCACAGTGACAGGCAAATCCGGATACGGACGCCGCCAAATCATATATATATATATATATATATATATATATATATATATATATATATATATATATATATATATATCGACTGTGTGGGAGGCTTTCACTGAATTTGGGACAGACCCGACTCATGCATGTGTGAAATATGTGTTCTGGTGCGTACGCGTCAACTAAACACTATGAAACACTGAGCTCTGCGTAACTGCTGTCCGAGGAAAACATGGTCATTATGGATTTCTGGTCCAGGAAATTTTCAAGTTTAATGCAGAATGTTATTGAATTTGTACAGGGTCTAATGGTGCCTGGTATGCTATTCCACGCGACAGCGTATTTGATGAGAAAGAAGTTGTATAGAAAAGCTCCTTTGGTTTTTGACAGAGATAACCAGTTCACGTGGTCCGAATAACGAATTCGGAGTATACGATGCTAAATTTGGAATACCCGATGTGTAAGTGGATCGTGACGCAGTCATTCCGAGCATTAGGACCCTAACAGAAGTAGAGGTATTGGTGTTACTTGATGCAAAAAACTTCCCTAGGACTGGTTTCATCCTCGGTTAGACTCTTCGTGCAGAAGTAGACGCATCTGATCATGCAACAGTGACTTGTGCTCTTCATCGCCGAAACAAAACATCCCATTATACATCTCTGTGGCCCACGCGTCATCTGATAAGCTTCCTATTTTCCTGAATAGCTTTTGATCGTTGTCCTGCACATGATAGCATCACCGTGATCGTGCCACCAACTGCTGAGAGCAAACAATTCATGGGGTTAAAACCGGGGTGCAATGGTTGAGGGCTAAAGCCTCTGTCACTAGGCCATAAAGATTCGCGAACAGTGCTTGGCACAGCGATCAACATTTCCGAGTAGAACCCCAACCAGGTTTAGAGCAAGCAGAGTTCACAAACATTCAACATTAATCTACCATCGCCCATCGGACGTCTGAAGGACAGGAACTTCGGTCTATTGGGAAGTGACGGGTGAGTGAGCCAATCTGCAACATCAGGACAGGTAGTGTGAGCTTATTGGCAACATGTCGCGCACCAAGCAGAAGACATGTGTTAAAATTTGCGCAACTAATCGTCAGCCCTCGGTAGCTCAGGTGGTAGAGCAACGGACCGGAAATTCGTGGACCGGGGTTCCACTCCCCGTCGAGGCACATTACTGTGCGTGAATTTTAATCGTGGCTTCTACTTTCTTCGAACTTTACACTACTCACAAACATCCACCATTAAGCAGAGTTCATGTGTTCAGAAACACACCAGCATTGCACAATCACTACAAGATAGACACTGAGCGGCTGCAGCACTGCAAATGCACGCTATGACAGTTGAATGGGTTTGCTTTCAAGTCACAGCACAAATCCAATGCTAAAATCATGAGCAATTCCAGATGAATTGCCGCACAGCAACGTGTGAACGTGACTCGGAGAGCTGAACGAATAAAACGAATTGACTGGATAGAAAGAAATGCTACTACACCGACGATTGAGTCGAGTGTGTGAATCGGCGATTCGCGGAAGCTACCAGACAAGATGAAAGAGGAATCATGCGAAGATGGTATGCAAGAGCGTGATGAGAAGAGAAATATCGAGCAAAGGCAGTAGAAGGGGGTAGTACAGCAAAAGTATGACATGAGTAGTTAAGCGGCAGTTAACATGGACGTCAAGTTACCATGCACAGAGGGACGACGTTGTCAACAAGAGATAAGAGAACTAAGAGCAAAGTATAACTAATTGCGAGCACCGTATACTCGTAGACAGATAGTTATTGTAGCGTTTACATTGACAGCACAGATGATACGTGCCTTAGATTCACAGATGAGCAAGTTTTCAACGCAGAAAACAGTATATATATATATATATATATATATATATATATATATATATATATATATATATATATATATATATATAGTTCGCGCCCCATGCTGAGGCTGATGTTGCATTCATGATGCTTCTCGATTCCAAAATATTCACTGATATCATCCACCCGTTGCACAGCGCACTGTTTAACTGGACATCTAGTTCGTCAACCAGACTCGAAAATGTTATCTTTTTAAAACTGACCGATACATAATACCAGTGAGGTCATGTTTCGCACTAAGTTTGTTCTTTTGCTACTGTTTTGTCTCCATACCATAACTTTGTGTCATGCCGATGGCATGTGTATGACGACTGAAAATTCACCTTTCCTGAGTGCATAAGAGTGCATTAGCGACTTGACTTAACCGCAGACAACATATCATCACCTGCAGCTTAGACCAGCTATGCTATGAAAAGTAATATATAACGGGTTCCGGTTGAGCGCCATGTCCGACGATGTCTGGATCATCATCATCAACAGCAGTACATCAGCCATTGGAACTGATGCTTCGCTGCCGTGCAACTACGGTGAACTATGGAACGAAGAACAGTAAGAGGAAGAGATGGGGACCTATCGTAAAACCTTAATGCTCTAAAGAAACACTCAGGGTCAAGGCGTTTACAAGTTGAGTCAACAGCAAACCGTCACAAACAGCTGGCTATCGTTCAAAGATAAGGCGGCATTAGCGAGACAGGTTGCTGGCGGCTTTCACTGCTCCGCGTCATAATCAGCAAATACTCAGCAGATTGATCAGCATTGAACAGTTCAAACGGGCAATCCGACTAGGAGAGGATAACAGACACGTCACTGGTATCGACTGCGATCCATGTCCTGTAATGTCTCAAGCCAAGCACAAGGCGGGTCACGTGGACCCCAGCCAGGAAGGCGAGACGGACCGACGGCACTGAGTTTGGTCATTAGTGACTTCATTTCTCGCCGTCGAGTCAACTTTTGTCCACCTGGAGTCCAAGGGCCCAGTGCAGTATAGCTCCACGGGTAGACGAGGAACGCAAACCGTCATACCAGGTTAAGGTTGTCTCGACTGGAAGCAAGAAATATCGCCCGAAAACTTCTATGTGGCCAGTGGCCGTAGCAGCTCAGCTGAACTAGTGACTTAACGAAACTAAAGTCACATACAACTACAGTGGACAAAACGAACCTCAGTGTATGATCAGTTGCAAGTGATGGAACTCATTACACCTTATTGATCTGACAAACTGGCCCGCCTGACACTCATCACGGCATCTGGTTATTGCTGGAACCCTAATGTCGCTCGACGGGAGCGACGCTCAGGTTTACTTTCTGAAGACAGAGATGTGACAGATTCAGTTGGCTGTAACGACTTCATGCTTCGAACATAGGTGAGAAATACTTTTAGAGAATGAGCGCGACAGCGTGGATAAAGATGGAGGGAATTAGTTAACGAGGACGAAAACTCACACCACTAACACTGTGCGGATTTGTAGGACCTTGGCGAAATTCACCGCCGGCGAGAGAATCGGCGTTGTCGCGCGCGATATCTGATCTCGAGGGGACCGGAGACCAGTTGTCATCCTCGGAACTCGAGGACATGCCAGAAGTAGTTCGATGGCGGGCCCGGCCCCCGGGTGGAGGCGCCGCAGGCATGGGAACAGTGTATGTGTCGTGGAACAGCTCACGCGGCAAAGCTTGCACACTGGCTGAGCGGATAATCGGAGGCCACGAGCCAGCCATGCGATCGATTTCTTCACGAATTCGCTCGTAATCCTTTCGTTGAACATGTCTGTGGAACATAGAGCAGTGGATAACGAGTGATGCAACGTTGTTGAATGGGATAATCGGAGCCAAAATTGTAATCACATCAAATAAGTTGTGTGAACAGAGCAAGTGGACCGTGAGGAAGCCGCAAGCACGCCACAAGAAAAACAAAACAAACAAACAAATGCGGGTAGGAGTGACACACTTGCGCCGTGAGTAAATCCGGTTGATGATTAGAACTCAGGCGAGTGATATAGTGGGCCAGTACCTAAGAGGTTGCCGGAAAAATGTTGCTTTGGGCTGCGATAGCGTCAGAATAAACGGTGCATCCAAATTTGGTGTTTTGTCTGTTCATCGAATGTGTTATGATAAGTCAGGTTGCGCTAATGCTAGGACAGACAGCGTACACTATAATCCAGTAGCATCGTATATTTCGCTGATCACATGACAGCGCCAAGCTTCCTTGGAATGCTGTAAGACTAGAATACATCAAAGATCTCACCAAGTGTAGAAGAGTAATTCCATTATGACAGGGGGCTGTGACGTGACTACCGATGGACTTGACATCCGTAAGGCGTACACACAATCCTCTGCAGTCTGATTACATCACGACAAAGCTAGCCCCCAGCCACCCCATGTTCTACAAATAAAAATATATGAAAGAATAGGTGCGTATATCTAATGTGAGCCACTGACAGGTTTGTTGGAATGTCGTTAAACACGTGCAGTGCATGGTAAAGGACTTCATCCATGAGGACACATTATGCTCCAAATGACCAGTGATTGAGAACACGTAAGGAGAGCTTCAGAAGTTATTGTATATGATGTCAAACGTAAGATATTTGGTTGCTGTACAACTGGAGGCGAAGCATAGGGGGGAGGGGCGGACCCCCAGGCGGCATGTGACAAGGGCGGCATTTTGAGCACCGCTGATAGTTCGACACTAAACATGACAAACTACACATTTACGTCATAAGTCACACCTCTGCAAACATCCTTCTCAGCTACCCCCTAACTTGTCCCACTGTGGTCATTTTCACGCAATTTATCTCTCAGTGCTCCAAACTACCATCCATTTCATTGAAAGCCAACGTGTACTTTACCCTGGGCTGATTTTGAGCGTTTACGGATTTACAACCGTCAGGAGGGCGGCAAACGTATTCGCTATGCCAGTGCGTACAAACCAATTATAAGAGACAACTGTATTATGAAGAGAAAAGAGGATGCACGATCGAAGTCGATAAAAAGTAGATGTTGAGGAGCAGCGCGCTTATACACTGTCAAGAACACCTACGAAAATACTGGTTATCTTGCGAAGAGAACGCGGTATCGGTGAAGCAGCTTCGTTGTAGCTTCCATCGCAGTAAGTCATAACCAACTTTATTCCATAGTTAATGCAGCAGCCATTTAGGTAAACACCGGACTGTAGTATGCGGATGAGGTGCAGGCAGGCAGCCCGTCAGATGGGTTCTGTTTAAGTAGTTATTGGAGCCCAAGTTAACTCTGTAGTGTAGGCCTTTTTGAGCAAACAATGGCATACAGCAGAAGCAATGCGCTGTGAACAATCGCCATCGTTAGTAGACATGGTAAACCAAATGGTTGTACAGAAAGATAAATGGAAACAAGTGAGCACAGTCACTTCCCGAAGAGAAACAGTTAATGAAGAGCTGAGCATAATGCCGAGTGTAGTATTTGGACGGTAATATGAAACTAGGTAACCGATGACAGATAGTTAGAAGTAGGTATAAAAGAGATGATCCAATACGACCACGGATACAGTAGAAACGGTGTAATCATCACGATCACGTAGATGAAGCACAAGAGTGGCAACGCAATTGATGAGAGCCTACCTGGGGAACAGGGCGCGTCGAATATGCAACATGCGTCGGCGAAAAGACACGCCATCCACAATCATCTCAAGGATGTAACAGAGGAGAAAATTGGCCACCACGAGTGCGTGAAGAATCATCAAAAACTGTGCAGACGGAATGCGCGTCATCTGTGGATGTGAAACGAGGTAGACAGACAGGGAGGCAATGTGATAAACCATCACGGAACAACAAACGAGTGATTGAATCGGAAGCAATCGCGATTGAGACAGTGGCGTGGTAATGAGATGCAAACGTGCAAACCAACATGTGGATCACCAAAGTAACAGATATGTAGGCGAAAACAGGTCGCATTAATTATCCATTCAGACAGCAAATCTAATGCAAAGGAAACAACAGAGCATGTAAAGATCGGAAATGCACTAATGCGCTACAACATCAAAAAGTGCGGAAAAATTACTTGATAACCATCACTGTGACAACGCAAGCCTTCAAATCGGCCATTGCCATTTTCTGCTTGAGGTACTATTTTTACGCTACCCACTGCGGATATATCAATTCCATCTCTTTTCCCGCATTTTGTTTACCTGGATCATGCTGAGGTCATCGATGTTGTCCTACACTCCCGACGCTTTGAAATTGTTCAGAGATGCTGTGAAAAGTGCGCCTTATATTACATTCGGTCACCAAATCATCAAACGAATTATAAAACAACGCTTTTGCAAAAGAAGAAAACACCGTGCTAGCCGATAAGCCAAACTCAGACGCTGTCCAATTAATAAAGTGCAACTTCTGCTAATTATCTCTAGCAATGTGCGCTCTCTGCTTGGCAAAGTTGCCCAAGTCAATGCCACTATGCAGTGTAAGGAATATGCAATCGCAATTATTTTAATGTTACCAGAAAGTTGGTTACATTCTGATATGGACGATGTTATTCAACTCGATGGATACCGCGTCGTTAGGTCCGATCGCCCTGGAAAGCCACAGAATCGCGGAGGCGTTGCCATCTATGTGAAGCAGTCATGGTGTAAGTCAATTACCTTGTTCTCTACATACTCAACATCGAAAACTAGCTGTCATTTAATCGAGTGTAAACTGAAATGTCTTAGTATATTCCTTTCCGTCATCACCGGAAACATCTACATAGCCTCCGGCAGCACGTCATGGACTAAGGTCAAAATTTCGCAGATCACTTCACATCAGTGTGGCTGACTAAAATTGAGTGTTCTGTCTGTATCGCTGCTGATAGTTTTAGCAAATGTGATACGACCTTTATCAAGACAATTGGTCTAAAATACGGTATCTCTCGAAACCATACTCAGTGCGCAATTGAATTTTGTTTTCATAAATAAAACCTTTTTTCCAATTTACGTCGAGCTCGTCGGTAACTATGTCCTGAGAATATTCCCAATTACTTACAGCAAGACCAACCTCAGCTTTTCGAAAGGGAAGTCCTTCAAAACCATCAGAAGGCGAGACTGCTATAAGGAAAGTTTTGCAGAACTACATGCGATGCTGGCTTCAAATGACTTTTCCGTTTTCACGGACGAAAACCTATCACTGTAGTGTGCATACCTTGCCACTTGTATCAACTGCTGCTTTTATCTATTCTACTCAATTAGAACTATCTACATTCGCATGCACACATGATCTACACCACTACTGAAGCGGCTTAGACGAAAGTAGGAACAGACATATAAATGCAAATTGTCTGCCCAAGTTAAACGACTAACATTGGCAATAAAATCAGAGGTAATGCGACTGAATAGTCTGTAGATTGAAACTGTGCTACATAGTCACGATAATCACGTGACCTGTGTGGCAAAAGTTCAATGAAGCATCTTGGTAATGTGGATGTGGACAGACCAAATGCCGAAATTTGTTATTTCTCAAAGGGTTTCTGTTCCCCACCCTCCTCCTCCAACACTGGTCTCGTAGTCACCCTTGATCATCATCATCATCATCATCATCATCATCATCATCATCATCATCATCATCATCATCATCATCATCATCATCATCATCATCATCATCATCATCATCATCATCATCATCATCATCATCATCATCATCATCATCATCATCATCATCATCATCATCATCGTCGTCATCATCATCATCATCGTCGTCGTCGTCATCATCATCATCACCATCATCATCATCATCATCATCATCATCATCATCATCATCATCATCATCATCATCATCGTCGTCGTCGTCGTCATCATCATCATCCGTCGTCATCATCATCATCATCATCATCATCATCATCATCATACACGTTAGCTAGAGATAGGAAACACCTCAGCTCCTGTGCCGCAATTCACCCTTGATCACTTGGACTTGTACAGGGAACTCAAAAAATGAAGATTACTAAAGCTGCTGGACTTGACGCTTTAGCACCACTCGCAGATTAGCTCGCGGTACTCTTAACCGCTCTACTTAGCCCCTGTCTACTGAGTGGCACAATCCCTGACAGTTGGAGACCTTTAAGGATAACGCCTGTGCCCAAGTAGGAATCACAAAGCCATCGTCCAACTGCATGTACGTCGGTGATGTTAAAAGTCTGAGAAACTGCTTGTACCTCGGATCTGCAATTGTACCCAGGCAGACGATGTATACCAGTTTGCCTATAAACCCAAGCGCTCCACACTGGATGTTTTGTCGTACTTCGTGCATTCGGTATCATCGTCACTGGGTGAAAAATGCAGAGCAGTGCGTCTATCCTTTCTCGATTAGTCCAATGCTTTTGGGAGTGTCAAAAGATCAATTCCACTCAGCCAGCTGTTCACAAGTGGGAGAAATACAAACGTCTGCAACCGGATCACAGACCACTTCACGCAGCATAACGGAAAAAATCCACAACACTTTGCTTCTATCGTGATGGTTTACAGGGAGCGATTCTCTCTCCTCTACTGTTTTTATTATATATCGAAGACCTCCCTACCGCCCAAGTTTATTGATGTCGTCGTAGGATGTATAACTCCAACCGTTGATACATCTACTCTTCAGAGTGGGGTGGTTTGATTATCACTGCTTGCTCGTGGACATCATCATCACGGACGCTCTGGTGTTACACGACACCAGCAATGTTCTGTACGCAACGATGGTCGGAAACTCAGACCTCTGACCGAAGTAGTCACATTTCAGTACCACACAGAGGCCTTCACTGTGGACTAGTATCCAAGGTTCTTTA